TCCGGATTTCCAAAGTTGAAAGGGCGTGCCGCAGACATCAGAGGCCTCGATTGGGCATTGTTAAATACCTGGCAGCAGTTCATGGACGTGGCTGTTGAACAGCATCTCTGGGTCGAAGCTTTCTTGAAGCTCACAGTGGAAATCAATGAACTCATGAACACTTTCTCGCCTCGGTCTGGATGCATGTCCATCCCAGAACCTCATTGTTCTGTATTGTTTCAGAAGGGATGCCAAATGGCACAAGTGCATGTCCTGTTGAGCGAGCACTATGCTGCCACAGGTGTGCAGATCTTCAATTGCACCACCAAGATGCATTTTACATTGCACGCGTTAGAATTGTCGAAACATTGCCATCCGTACTTGACCTGGTGTTTCAAAGGCGAGGCCAACATGAAGGCTGTACAGCAGCTCTGGAAATCGCGCGTGTCCGGCAACAAACATTTTGCAGTTGGTCGGGTCGCGGCCATTAAGCAAAGACATTTGGTTGCAATCAACACTGGCCTTTAGACCAGGTGGTCCAGCTGGAGCTCAATAATTTTGTGGTCGTGCGCAACAAGTTCACAGGGCTGAGCATTGCGATCCTCGGCCCTGACTTGATGGAGTAGACTCGGAGAGGAGGAGGAAACTTGCGTTTGCTTTGAGCCGTCGGCTCATGCGTTTTACTTGAGCATGTTCGTTACTTCAGCATTACTTGGAGTGGATATACTTCAGCATTGCTGGACATTGACTTGAGGATTTACTTGCGCAATTACTGGCACAGTTTTACGTGAGGATTTGATGGAGCAGTTTTACTTGAGCATTTACTTTACAAGATGTACACGATTCTACTTTACCAGATTTACAACATTCTTTCTAACCTTTCTAAGTGTTTAATGCTTGATTTGGTCAGCGTCAACAACATTTGATTTCATAACATTTTTTGCAGTTCATGTCAGAAAATATGTGCGAAATCACTTTTAGGACATTAGCTCACACGGAGGAATTCTACGGTATTTTCGAAAACGCATCAAAAGTGTATACGTTTTTGTTGTTTTCAACCCTGTGTCCTTCAAATTAGGTTTTTCAATAAAAACACCAAAAAATACGTAATTTCTTCGGTTTTAGTAATTTTACTAAATTAGTAATTTTACTAATCTTCGAGACTCAGGGAAGGGCCTTCCGATTTCCTAAGACATTTCCGAGATTTGAAGAACTTTCAAATTTTATGAAAATTAAAATAAGAATAAATTATAGAATAAAAAGACTGATCGGAAGTGATCGGGTCACCTTACGCGCGCCACTTTTCTCTTAGTTGGGACTGATCGGAAGTGATCGGAAGTGATCGGAGAACCCTTACGTGCACCATTTTTTTAAGAGTTGGGACTGATCGGAAGTGATCGGAGAACCCTTACGTGCACCACTTTTTGAAGAGTTGGGACTGATCGGAAGTGATCGGAAGTGATCCCAACTCTTCAAAAAGTGGTGCGCGTAAGGGTTCTCCGATCACTTCCGATCAGTCCCAACTAAGAGAAAAGTGGCGCGCGTAAGGTGACCCGATCAATTCAAAAACAGGCCTTTAAATTTATATTATTATATTTGTATTATAAGTTAAGTCCTACAGTTTGACTATGTTTGACTTTGACGACCTGATCACTCCTGATCAGCCCTAGGCCGCAGCCACTCGCTGCTGCCTACCAATTAGATCTATTATTATTAAGTTAATGCACGCGTCCATTTAGTCCAGGGCTGCTTCCAATGTCCAAAGTACTGGACCGCCTCTACTTGCTTTGCCTCTACTACGCTCACGCATCTTGAATCTGAATCTGACACAAAACTCTTGCGCTGGACGACTCCCAGAACCAGGTTTTGGCCTTGTTGAAGCCAAGATCTTCACCACCGCTGGAGTCGGACGACTCATAGTCATGGTCCGCAGAGTCCACATAGTCCATTGCATCCCACACAGTGAAATTGTTAAAGCCAGACTCAAAAAGATCCGGGTTCCCGGTCAGAGATGTTTTGAATGCGTCTATCAGAGCACCTATGTGATCCTCGTCAAACGGGATGGAATCGAGTGAACTGTTGAACTGTTGCCCACAAAAATACGACGTTCGATGATCGGATTCGACCTACTTGAAGCATCACACCAAGGCTCCATGGTCGATTCATCCGCGCCGCCCCAAACATCATTCCGGACCATTATGAAATAGATCCTTGAGCGTGGCTGTGGGCAGCCGAACGCAGAGCTCCTGGGACATTGTCAGCACTTTGGCCCTGACCTACTTCGCAAATAGAAAGTAGTAACCAGTCAGTAGCACGATGCAAATGTAAAAAATGAAAGAAACTGTAAGAAATGGCCTACCGACCCAAGGCTGACAAGACCCTATGCGACCGAAACACTTCAGGTGAAATACTCGCAACACATATGATGGTATCAGAGAAAGGCCTACTGGTTCTTGGGGCCCGCCATCTTCTCCAGGAAGAACTCCGCGTAAAAAGAAGTCCAACGGGGTCTGACAGAGCATTCGCAAGATCATTTAAGTCATGACTCATGACTCACGATCAATAATGCTGACGACGCTGCGCTCCAGAAATCTCTTCTGAATTTTTGAGTATGCACACAGGAGTACAGCGGCGCCGAGAGGCCGTCAGGATGCAGCAGTCCAGAGCTGATCTTTTGAAGGCGGGCGCGGGCAGTTCGCAAGTTCAGGAGTCCAGTCCTGAAATTGAATCGTCTGAATCCACATTGAACCCTTCGCAAATCAGCAGGCTCAGGTTTCAGCGCCTGGACCAGTACTTGCAGCAGATGTCTTCCCATCCTGCATGGGCAAAAGGTTTGCAGGTGTGGGACCATTTGTCTGCACTGAAACCTTCTCTCGTGAAGACCGTGTCTCAACAAGACATTGAACAGTCTTTTCAGACGTATTTCCGCTATGACCCCGAAATCGAGGCCAACCCGAGTGAGATGACTACATTCAAGAGGCCGTGTGTTGGAGTGGCAGGTTGCCTTTGTCAATGCGACCCGAATCATGCGGAAGTGTGCAAACTCGTGACCCAGTTTGACACAGGCTTGGTCCAGTCCAAGCTCGGAGGTGAACCTGTGCTCATTTGTTTGGATTCGGATCCAGACACAGACATGAGTTTGAGCAGAAATTGGGTGGTACTTGGGTGCATGAGTCGAAAGCCAATTGCCCACTATGTTGTGCATCTGTATGAGGTGGGCAACAATACACTTCCCGTTGCCGTTGAGAAAGGAGAACCTAAACTGAGCGCAATGCACCAAGTTCTCAAAACCCTTGTGTGCTCGCATGCTGCTCTTCGGAGTGACGAACCAGGCAATTCCTTTGGTCTGCGGGTGTCGCTTTTCGCAGAACTCATTTGCCTTTACGACAATGGTTTGCGTATAGACTTGCCGGACGAGGATTCCAAGCCAACTTTTTTCTTCAACATTGGTCGGGAGTGGGAAGCCGTTGTGAGTAAGAGGCCTACCAAAACGGGCGGATCTGGTCGTCTTGGGTTTGGCCTTGACGAATTTCTTTGCAACAAGACTGGGAAGAAGAAGTCCTCTACGAAGCGCAAAGCGCCAATCACCGAGGGCAAAGCCATGACTGTGACTCAGCGCCCAGAGTACCTTGGAGGTTTTGATAGCAGCAGCGAAGAAGCCAGTGACAGGGCCTGGAATGGTGATGACACTGCTCGCGGAAATGTCACTGGAGAAGCGGAAGAATGGGCTTCGGGGGACATGGACAACGTTCATGATATAGTGTTTTTTGGTTGCCTCATAATATATATATATATTTTTTTTTTCAATCTTTGTCATTTCGTTGGTTTACTTTCGACTAAGTGACCAACCTCCAAAATCTTTGTGCCCAGGCCGAGCTCTGGCTCTACTCAGCGTGCTTCTGTGTCTGACGATCCTTGCCCCACTGAGCTCAACAGTCGTGCGCAGGCGGAGCTTGCAGCTGCCGTGCATGAGGAGCGGGAGCAATTGAGGGCGGAGGCTGGTAAGGAGGGGAAGGCCGCGCCAGCTGCCAAGCCCACGGGCAAGAGTCGCTTTCACACACACTTGGGTATTCTAGGCATTTCCACGTGCAAGAGAGCTGGCGTGAAGTGCTTGCATTGCCAGTGCTCGATTCAGAAGGGGGATGTCAAGTTTGCAGTGGCGTACAGCCTTTCAAAGCCTGAAAGGTCAATACACACCTCCTGTCTTGTACAATTCAGTCCCGCAAGCATTCAGAATTCAATGCCAGTGCTCGAAAGCGCACTCACTATCTTGACTGATCCTGACCAAAGAGATGCAGTTATGAACGCCATACGGACGTTCAAATCGATGTGAGTGTGGTACATGCATGGTTGGAGCTGTTTGAGCCACAAGTTTCGTCCAACCGCGCACTTGCTTGCGAGAATTTAGTTTGCAAGTTAAGTACAGAGCTGCTTAGGGAAATTCACAAGTGGCTTTAGTGAAAAGGGTGCTTTTGGAGAAGCCGGCGGGTCTAGCGCGCAGGAGCGTCAGAAGCGTCCAACTAGTACTTTTGTTTTCTTGGACATGTTGAAACTTGTCCTTCTCTGTCTCACCCAAAGATGCCCATTCCTCACCGATTGCTTTGTTGAGCAGCTTTGCCGAGTCGCTGCCAACCTTCCCTGAGCCATACTTTTGCCTGGACTGCGGCATTGAAACTCAAATTGAATGCTAGGACCTGCTAGGACTAGGACGGATAATTTAAAATTGTTGTTGAGGGTTCCTGAAACAACAAAACAACAAAACTTTCTTTTTCTACAGAGGTCAATCCATGCCTGCAATAACGCTGGAAAGCGTTGAAGGCACTGACCCTCCGCAATTTCTTGGCATCACACCGAACGTGGCCTCCAGCCACAGACCTTGGGCCGTCCGTCAAAAGATGTGTCTATCAGTCTCAGTCTCAGTCTATGACTAGGCTTTTGTCACTACTGCAAATCTTATTGTTATGGTCGTTGTCTTGCCAGGCCGCCAGGCCCCAAAGGTGATTTTGGAAGCTTTTTTTCAACTAAGCTTCCAACAACAGCCCTTTCAAAAGCCCCGGTCTACGTTTGACCGTCCCTGCGCTGTTCAATTCTGATGTCTTCCGGAGAGAAAGCTTTGAAGTTGGCGCCGTAGAGTCAACCATGCGCCCTTTCATCCAACGGAGAACCTTGCTATGGTCAGCACCCCAGCACTGCTTCTCCAGATGCTCCGTGAACCTACGATGCTCCAAAAGGCACGAAAGAATGTAGCTGTCCAGCTGCAAGGTCAAGGGCCGCTTGGTGTTGGCTTTGGTCACATTGGCATCCACCTGAAAGTTGGCACGCTGCTTCTCGACCTCCACGCTGCTGGCTGGGGGTTCGATCAAAGCATCCTTCAATGCTGCTGTGACTTCCGCAAACCGCTCTTTGCAAGAATGTGCCTGTCGATCTTTGAAGATATACCCAATCAAAGCCTCAGGCAGTCAACTACATTGGGATGCAATGGACCCGTGGCCAACCAAAAATGGTGATTCCTGTTGACTGTCAGACCTACGTCCCCCGCCCGAAGAAAAAATACAAACACACTAAACACGCCAAACAGTCCAATGGCCCAACGGCAACTTTTCCGCACTGACTGGCAGTCACTGTAAATCTCTAGGAATGGACGGCTTGCTGGCCGGTACAACCCCCAAACAAATTCATCGGACTACTATCGACTATCCTATCTATCATCTCTACCCGCTGCTTCCGAATCTTCCTGACAGACTTCAATCTGACACCCGCCGGGCTCACTCAGTGAATCATTCCCCATCTCATCACTGATCACTGTCCATGGAGTCCATGGTGACAATAGTAGAAGTATCAGGAAGACGGAGACAAAAGAATCACGAATCGTTTCTGGTGGGTTGATTGTAAGGGTGTGGGCGGCCTGGTCCGCAACGTCGACGACGCTGAGGAAGGAACCAAATCAAACCTTCGAACTGGAAAGGTGGGGCATTGGGCCCAACCATCAGCTGCAATCTGATGTCAGGGTGGCTCACCATCCCTGTTTCCAAATCGATTGGAGGTCGAAAATAGCGGCCAGGGTCTGAATCAGAAGAGGTTTCAGACCAGCTGCTGCCTGACTCAGACCCATCGATCAAATCATCATGACCGTCACTTGCACACTCAACGGGCGACTGCAAGTCGCCGGAACCAACTCCTGGGACACCAATAGCAGCAGAGTCACTTGGGTGTGGCAAATCGAAGTCACGAGAAGAATCAACTGCTTGGTCATCCGCGCCACTTGGCGGCTCAAAGTCACTAGAGTGATCATCATGAGCGAATGTTTGCCCATCATGCTCCCCAGCATCACTTGGCAATTCAAAATCAAACTCTGACGGGGGCGCATTGTCACACCTGGTCGATGCACCGTCTCCAGCGTCATCATTGTCGCCAGCGTGTTCCATCTCAGTCTGGTCGTTGTCATGGCCAAAGCTCTGGCTCTGACTGCCAAGGACATGGGCTCCAGGGCCGACAAGGACATCCGAAGATTGTGAATCAGAGTCATTGTCATTGTCACCTACATGATGCTGTAGCCGGTGTGGCTCTGGCTCGTCGCCAGCCTTTGCCTCCATTATGGACCGAAGTATCAGCGCCAGCCAGTTTGGGCTGTCTGACCACTGCAGGAATCCTAAGGTCCTAATAACAGTCCTGAATACCAAATGGGCCACAAAGCTACGGGATACGTTTTTCCAATCTTGCGGCTACGGTACGACCCCACAGCCCTGACTTAAAATCGAACCAAGAAACGTTTGCAAAGCACCGGTCTTTGCACAGCAAGCAACCACGCCACTGTCTATGCTGTCGCCACAAAAATTCAAGACCCTCTTCAGCTTCCATGAAGACCACACGAAACATTTGCCAGGGCCAACTCTGTTGCGGCCTAACCACCCTTCGGAAGGTGTCAACCATAGACTGAAGGATGAGGGGAGCACACTCCACATATGACACCCCGAAGAACGGACACCACTTCAAGGAGTCTGGAGGATGCAACAGGAGGTCGAAAAAATCTTGAACTGCGCGCCGTCCCTCTACACCTGTGAGCACCTTGTAGTTCATTTCAATCAGCTCCTCCACATGGAAGGGGCACTTGCTACCCTCCAACCGCTCCAATCCAAGCAAATCTTGCCGAACTCGAACGCGGATAGATTCCACCAATGAAAGGTGATTCATAAACCTTGTGAGTGGCTGTGCAACGACTGAAGTTTGCCCAACCATCTCCTCGATAGTCGGTCGATACGTCGATCCGTGAAACAGAACATCATAATCTCTTCACTTTACAACATCAATCATCTAAATCTATTACAAAAGGTTAAGGGCAAGTCGACAACTACAAGGGCAAAGGCAAAGGGGCCAATGCATTTGGAGCGTTGAGGAAAACGTGGACCTTGTTCATTCTGACTTGCTGTTTCTTCCCAGGAGCGGCATCAGGACAATCCTCATCCATGAGCTTGATTTGATCGTCCCCAAGCTCTTCATCGTGGCCCTTGTCCATGCAGCAACTCCAAAGGGTCGGCAATATAGAATGGATACTCAGGCCGCGAATCACATAGGCAAGGGCGCTGTCGATGTGCTTCCACCTGTACAGTAGAGGCGTCTCAAATATATTCCCGAAGGCAACCTCGAGCGCCTGCCGCATTTTGAACTGGAAGTCCTCTTTTGTCTTGCAACAATTTGGCTTGCAGAAGTGTAGCAAAGAACCATTGTTCAAAGGGCAGCCCCAATCATTGTTGAGCATGCTCAAAATCAACTCTTGCCCGTCCGAGTTCTGCAAATCGCTGCTGCAAAGATTCAGAACAGCTCTGGCTCTGTTCTGATCAACCTTTGCCGACAATGGTACTTCCACCACTTCCATCCTCACAGCTTGTCGGGCCAATGCATCCAAGCTATTGGCCAAGCGGGAACGAAAGAGAGTCGTTTTAGATGCGTGGGCCATTCTGACAGACTTGGTGGCTAAGCCCTCTACGGCAAGAATAATGGGCTTCTTGGCTAAACAACCTTGGTGGTGCATGCAAAACGAGAAGGCCTGGCAGGATATCGAGCCATCGGTACCTCTTGTCTGGAAACGGGACTGCTCCATCCCTGCCACGCTGAGGTTGGCTGTGAGCGAATCAGTGCAAGTCACATACATCTTGATCTTGGCACGGCCAAGCATCTCCCGAGCTTCATCTCCGCAAACATGTTCCCCACGCACTTGTGAAAGCATTGACCATTTTCCGACCCGATGCAGCAAGGTTCCAGCATTAGCCTTGGGCAAGACTTGCGCGGGCGCATGAAGCTGCACAATGTCTAGGTCTCTGTCTTTCCTGATGACAAGACGTTCAATCAATCCCAGCACTTGGCACACCTTTCTTTTGCCTTGCTTGCCAGAGTTCGAGCTGGTTTTCTTGGCCTGACACAAGTGCGGATCACTGCCATCATCCACAAGGTCTTCTGGATGAAACGCTGCTTCGATTGTAGCCTGCTGCTGCGGAGCCACCCAGGCATTCGTGTCGTCAACAATTCTAATGCCCACGATGTGCTTCACACAACCAGACTGCAAAAGGGAAACTAGCCCTGCGTATTGGGCCTCAACATGGGACACTGCCCCGACCTGCTTGTATCGCTTCAGCTGTGAATCGCTGCGGCCGTAGGATTGGAAACCAGCAACGGTTCCATCAGCTTGGTTGAAATAGCTGTAGGTTTGCCTTGGATTTGGGAGTGGCCGCCACCGGCTACACACTGACTGTGTTCTGACTTTGGTACTTGATGAATCGGAATAAAATGCGATTCATTACATTCAGATTCAGTTCAGTTATCGAGTTATCGGCTATCGGCTATCGACTATCGAAGTTATCGGCCAAAACACGTCCTTTGGGTCGCAGCGCTGTTTCTTCTGCAAGCCCACCTGCTAAAAGCGACACGGGCAATGTTGTGGTTCAAGGAGCTGGCCAGGCTCTGAATGCTAGCGGCTTCGCGCACCTGCTTTGCAGCTAGACCGTTCGAGACTGAGACGCCATGCTTCTTGCCACGCGAATAGTTCTTGCCAAGCTGAATGGCAGCTGGAATGACATCAGCCTGCCCCTGATTCCCCTCATCCTACCGGCGCGCAGTGCAATAAGACTTGAAGCTCCTCTCTTCTATCTATCTATCTATCTATCTACCTAATCAGTATCAGCCGCCTGCCCCTCGAATCACTCGCGTAAATGGCGCGCATGCCACACGAAAATGATCCACCCCCTGCAACGGCTCAGAACATTGGTTTGAGCACAGCTAACAGCCTCCGGTAAGGCGCCAATGACTTGCCAATGGTTCGACATGAAAAAACGCCGATAACTTATCTATCATAAACTTGAGCTCACTCACTTCGGTCGACAACTTTCGGGCGGTAGCCAGCCTGGTAAACCGCACTGGCAGGGGTGGAGGAAGCGCGCTTTGCTGCTCCAGAAACGTTCTCCAAGATCACCAGCCTGCCACTCAAGGCAGCAACAACGCGCATGGCAATCTACTCGCTCGTGAAACATCGTGGTCTCTTAGTGGGTTCTTTTCGTTCTTGCTTTTTTTGTCCTCTAGTCCATAGTCTCCAAGTGTTCAGTGTCAAGAACTAAATCCAAGCAGCCGTGGACGATATTGTCCAACGTACCGACTGGATTCAAGGAATGGTAAAGCTTTTTTTTTGCCTTGGTGTCAACTTCAGATTTCGATCCCTCTCTCAGCCCGTCCCTCAGCAACGTGTCCAGAAACACATATCAAAACGCATTTCTCATCAATCATAGTTTGAGTTTCAAGCTGCAACGGCCTCCGACTTGGATTGAAACAGCATCGAGACATCTGCAGTCTTGAACCTCGTGGTCGCCTCTTGTGAAAAAAGTTTACATGTAAAGCCAGCAATGAATATGTCTTGTTGAGCTTCGTCACCGTCCACGATATTCTCCTGCCCAGGAACTACCTAAGCCTATAGCCGATGCCGCCTATGCCTATGATTCGATTCTCTAAAAGTTCCAAACATTGAAACTCAATGACCAGCTCAACTCACAGGGAACCTTTGGTAGTGAAGGTGGATCGCAGTGGCCGTTGTGCACGGCGCAGAACCCACCCAGCCTACAATGGCGCTGCAAACCTACGACGCTAGATCACTAGGTGAACTAAGTACAACAAAACCAGCCCCAACCTGCTTGAGGTCATGTTCTCAAAGCAGTGGGTCACAGCATTGTTCTGCAGGAACCACTGTCGGGTCGGCAACTCGGCGCCGCACAGACCCTAGTGATCCCTAGTGTCTTGTTTAGTCTTTGTCACTGTCTCTGATTCTCTCTCTGTCTCTCTCCGTCTCTAACTCACAACTCCCCGACTACAAGCTACTTTCACAAAATGCTGCCAAAAGCGCGTGGGATTCAGATGACACAACCTCTACCGCATTCTGAGCACCCACCAATTGCGTCAATGCGTGGGACGGAGCCCCCGTCCCTGAACAGGCTGTGGCTAGAACCTCGGCCCACTCCATTGCCGCTGCAAAAAGGATATGATATCGATATCGCCGCGAGTGAGAAAAACATATTGAAAGACTTGTGAACCATTCTGCTTGCAAAGAGCTAAAGGCCTCGAAAGTCTGACTTGAAACGCCTCTTTCTGAATGCCAGAGGCTGTGCAGAACGGTTCCACCCAGTGCGCGAAAAGTGGTTTTCGAGTGGCTGCTGCCCTTACCTGACTCGGGGAACGTGATCGGTCACTGTTCCTTGACTTCCTTAGAGAGCTTGGACGCATGATGATTAATGATGAGTTCTGAATTATGAAAACTCAAGCTGAGCATCGCTACTACAAGCTACTAGGGGCTCCTGGCCTTACTACTAGGAGCAAGGAGGCTACTGGGAGGCTCCTGGCATCGCTACTAGGAGCATTCTGAATTCTTGCTACTACAAACTACTAGGAGCAAGTACGCTACTAGTGGCTCCTGGCATTGGTACTAGGAGCAGTGCTGTCAGTATCCGTGTTTGCAAAAAACACATTTCAATTGAGGCATTCTCGAGTCATCATCACGGTACAGCGACGCCAATGACAGCGACATGGGCGGTCAACGGCAGTCCCAAACCCTGCTGCCCTGTCCTGTCTGCATCCTTCTATCCGCTTCTACTGTCAAACGCCTTTCAAACAGCAGTGCTTTGGTTCGCTACACATGGTTTTGGCACATGCCACAACCCTGCCCCCCGTGAGGCATGAGATGAGCCTGAACTGCACACAGCCTGCTCAAACTGGTGCACATCTAAAACTCGCTAATGTAATGTTGGTATTCCACCACAGCACTTCATGTGCAAAGAGACAACTTCACAAAACACATGAGAAAAATGCAGGCTTCACTTGAAACTGCTTCGCTTAGCTGCTTTTGTTTGACTGACCCGGTGCGTAACACCAAATTTGTATGCCCTGGACCCTAACGTTACCCAGTTATGTTTCCAAGTTGATCAAGCCGTGGCCCAAAAATTGCAACGCCTGGCACTCAACGTGACCCTA